GTGAATAAATCCCTGCTTCATTGCTATATAAGTCCTAAAAAGAAAAAATTATTTCAATGATGTCTTTTGACTTTGACATTATCATGAAGATATGTCATAGTATCTGCTACTTTAATATACATCTTATGGTCATGATTGATGTGACCTAAAGGTATCATGTTAGGGAAGCGATTATCTCCTATCAAAGTGGTATATGGGTGAAAGGAAGATTACCTTAAATATGCACGTCTATGCTCATATTCAAGACATGTCCCTTATGAAACAATTTATTGATTTATAAGTGTGGATACTACGCATATAAGAAAGACTATTTAAGTCTTAGATAACTTAAGAGGGATTAGATTAGTCATCATGAGAAAAGTGTATATTAGTAAATCTAGGACATTAAAGCACAAATTCAATTAAGAATAAATTAAATTATATGGTTATTTATGCTGGTCTTTAGTAGGATTCCTATTATGAACATCCGAAAATGAAGACGTTAAGCCTATACGATCATAGCAAAGCATATAGTATGAAAGAGGAAAGAGAAAGGAATAAGATTAATATATATTCTTTACTAAGTGTGAGTGGGGATGTTGGATAATCCACTCTTAGTGGATTGAGCCCAATATAAGCCCATAGGACCTTTATCAAAATATAGAGAAGATTTAGGCTTGAAAATATAATATACTTTGGGTCAAGTGTGTAATTTTTCCTTAATGAATTAAAAGTTTAAAGTAAGTAACAATTTTATTATCATGCACGCACGATCGAAAAACCACAATTGGTATGGGTGGTTTTAAGAGAAAAGATATGTATTCCTCCTCCAAATCTTATACTAAAAATATTTAGGTTTTTTGGGGGGCCTTAGGCAATGGTCTTACTTGCCTGTGGATTCCCATGGTCTTGTATATGAACACTAATTATATGAATATAAACGGTCATCTCTTAGGTGTATCAATTTTTCACTTATTGATCTAGGCAAAGAGAATGTTACATTTGATTTTTTTTTTTTTTTAGTAAGCACATGGAGCAAACTCCATTCTTTAAAGTATTGGTTATCGAGGATAAAAAGTAGACCCCTACTAATTAAATTATTACATACATGACAATTATAATTCAAACTCTCAATTATTTATTTAAATAATGAGAATTTACTTTCTCAAGTGGCACTTGCCATTTGACTATTTTCCTTTAGGAATGGAACAGAATGTAGTGGAGCAAAGTGAAATAGAACAAAATTTTCCTTATGATGGAAAGGAATGGTTTTACATGACCATTATTTGAGAGTTATATAAAATAAATGGAATAGAACAGTTTAAATTTTTTTTTCTTTTGATATTACCCATATGACTAAATTTAAAAATAATAATAATACCTATTAAATAATTATAATATTCATGCAATAAAAAATAATAATTGTTAAAATTAATTGTCAAACAAGATACTCAAAAATTAAGAATAAAAATTGAAAGAGTAACAAAGCTATTCAAGCAAATATTCATGTTGCACAAGAGGAAAACACAACACATTCATAGTGTTGAAAGACATGAGAGAGCGAGAAATGGCAAGAGCAAGAGAGATATGGTGGGAGGTAGGCTGTGCACTATGCTTGAATGCCTAGTTAACCCCCTACTTGAAGCATTTGAGCACATAGGGCTAGGTGTAATGCCTACCTTAACATTACCAAACACACAAAGCATTAGACATGGAACGCCGTTATGATAACTTGGATTTAATTAAAAAGTTGAGATCCCAAGAAACCTTTTAAATGATATTTGAACTCAAACTAAAGTTTAAAACAATTTAAACATGATGACGAAAGCATAGAAATCAAACAGCACTTGAAAGCAATCAGGAAGATCTAAAAATTTTCCAAAAACTGGCCCATTCATCGCAGCACAAGCCTTACCCTCCATTGGGTGACTGTCATGCGCTATGGTTCGCACTTACTGTCATAACAGTAGGCCACTGTCATAACAACACTCTAAATCAACTCCCTGAGAATGCAATTTCACCATCTGACGTTCGATTTGAGCATTTTAAGTATTCACACATAGCTTTTTCAAGCCCTCTGGCTATTACTATTAATCCCATACCCAAATAACCAACCATTAAAAAGTTGGACACTTGAATCCAAAATGATTCATTTTAAATCATAACACACTCAAGGGTGTCCAAACCTTACAACTTATTTTGGCATTAGGTTATTAAACCGACTCAAATGGACCACAAACAACTTATTCATACATTTAAACCACCACAACAACATTCCAAACATAGATTGGCCATCCAAATCACAATTTAGTATAAATCCAAAAAGTGATAATAAACATATTATAATCCTCCAAATGGCTAATCCAACACATAATCCCTCATAAAATAATACTTACACTAATATCTTAACCTCTCACGGCCATTGCAAACACATACAACCTCCCAAGCCAAGATACCCACAGTTTACAATAAAATTCATGCAAGTGCTTCTTAAAATCACGTATGATTCCTAAGTTGGCATATGCATAATTCATTCATTATAAAACCAAAAGAAATAGAAAGGACTATAAAAACACCGGCCAGTCCCCTCTATGTTAGGTCACACCTTCCTTCCCTTTACCTCTATTAGAGCTCTCACATGAAAATGTAACCATGAGGTAAGTCGAGGACTTACTAACCAAATAGTCTAACTAAACAACTCATGTGTGCGAATAAATAGTGCACATGTGAAGTGGCATATGAAATGCATAACAAGCTACACAAACATACATATGGTTATAAAATGATATGTATGATTAACACACCACTTTATACCATCTTTATATCTTCTGATTGAATTTGTAAGCTAACAACTCAATAGAACCAAATCCATGTGATTGGATTAGCTCAAGCTCACTATTCGTAGGAGGCAACCCCAGCCAAGATTGCCTTTGCCCACTATGGACCACAGATTTTCTCGCTTTTGAATGTTAGGAGTGTCAATGCACAATCTATCTCACATAGTACTGAGACTTATGAATAATATAATAATAAGCACCGAGACCTCTACAGTGCCAGTGTATCATATGAATTTTCAAACAATGTCTCCCAACAATACACTAAGATAAACTGTCACCCTCTTACAATAATCATGCCAAACATATGCTCAGTGATTCCATATAGCTATAACATATAATTTTCACAATTTAATCATTTCCACACATATCAGTAACAAGTAAGTTTCCACTAAAACTATAGAATTTTGCAAATAATTATATTTGAATATAAGGTTTAGTTTTCCAAATTCTCAATATTCAAAACACAATTTCCATTCCACTTCAAATAAGATTTCTAAATTATAATTATTTTATATTAATACTATACTAGTACAAAACAAGAGCATTAGCTTTAAAGTAATCACACGACCATCCAAAACACACAAATAGAGATTTTAGACAATCTGATTACCTTAACCCTTTTGTCACTAAAATGGTTACTATGGTCAAACAATGGCTCCACATGTGTTCACTAACACCATAATGCTTGATCAACAATTGATCTACAAGATTTAAATTTTTAATCATCAATTCACGTACTAATTATCCCATTTTTAACACAATTTCAGGTACCCATTATATCTAAAACTTTAATTTAACCTCATCAATTCTTCAACAGACTCCATTAGTTCCATTTAACACCTAAATATTCAAATAACATCACTTTATTATCCATATTGCTCTTAATCTCTCAATTTCTACTTTAAGTTCATCCAAACCTTACTCAAAAATTTCAAATCACATATAACCCATAAATCTAGGTTTAGAAGCTTGATTTAACTTCCTAAGACCTTATAAAAGCCAATGGGTTCAATAATTACTAAAGAACAATCAATATCACAGCCCCACAACACCCAAATCAATATCACAATTTGATAAGTGTAGATTTTGCACGTGCGCCACAATGCATAACATAGAAAGTCCACACATGTATTGAACCTTTCTTCATGCCACAACCCACTCAAACTCCGACCTAATCCTCTTTCATGGCTATTCAAGGATCCAATGACTATATTAGTTCTCCAAAAACATTATTAATTAGTAATTCACCTAATTTGTCCAAAATGCCCTTCTAAAAATACTGAAAATTCTTAAAATTGAAATCTAAGATGTTACACCAAACATTGTCAAGGGTCAAATCTTGCCTTGCCTGAACATGTGCAAGTTTTTTTTTAAGTTTTAAAATTTCTTGTGAATAATATTTATCTAATGGCATTATTTTTTATTAAATTTATCATAAATTATTCTATTTTTATGATCTTTTAGACATTTTTTATTATTACAATTTTTTAAATCTCTTTCAAAATTTAAAATTTATATTTAACTTATTATTACTTAAAAATAATTCACATTTGTTGTTCATTTGAACTTTTAAAAATTGCTTTTGATTCTAATATAAGTTTTATGAAGAATATTTTTAAATAATAATAATAATATTTTTTGTCAAGAAAAACTTTTTATATATTGTTTAAAAGATACTTATAAAAATATTTTTAGGTCAATTAGGCCAATCTAATACTCAATTGCACATTAGGTTAGGCACTAGATAGGTGATGATACTGGCCCGACCTTACCCATGTGCAACCCTAACAAAAGGCGAGGAAAATAGTTGGAGAATAAAAATAACAGATGAGATTTTTTTATTAAGAAAAAAGTTAGAGAGGAATTTATAAATGAAATAATTATATTGTGTCACTTTATTCTTGACCTCCAATTTGAGGGGATAAAAAAAATTGGATTATAAATAGAAAAAAAAAGTTTTAAAAATCCTTCCTTACCATTCCATCTTTCTTTAAAAAAAAAAACTCACAAATGATAGATTAGGTCTTTTAATCATCCCTCTGCATTCCATTGCCTCCTAAAAAATCTTTCGGACATTGTGTTAGTGTGTGGATTAGCCTTTGGCTTTTATTTATTTATTTTTTTTAACTTCACCGATCAACGAGGAATTTTGATAAACTTTAGGGATTAATTATTAATTTTCCTTTTGGCAGGGTCGCCTCTATTGTTGCGGCTTTTACAGTTAACACAGTTTACTGAAACTGCTGGAGCTACTTCTCTAAGCTCGAACTGCAGCAATGAGAGGAGACGCTACCCACTGGGACGAAAATGCTTACAGGGAAGTCATATTGAAGGAGAGGGAGATTGAAACCCGAACCATTTTTAGAACCGCCTGGGCTCCTACCCGAAACCCGAACGCTGATACCCTCGTTGTTGCGTCAAGCGACGGATCCATCGCCTCTTATTCTATTCCTTCAATCATCTCTAACCTCGTCAGTCTGCCTCTCTTCCACTCTATTTTCTAATTCTTTTGTTTTTCCTTTTGAATTCTTGTCTGTCTTCCCCTCCTTAATTGTGGAACCCGTATGTTGCAGCCGTTTGGTCTTACCAACATAAAGACACAAAAGTGAGTATAAATCCCATTAATTGCTTAATACACACCGACAATTGAGTTCTTATAGTGAAGTTTGTTGTGGCATATGATGCAATTGGCCTAGATTGTTTGCTGAACCAACTTGCTTCTTTCAAGGGCACGATGGACCTGCTTATGATGTCAAATTTTACCGGGACGATGAAGATGCTCTGTTATTGAGGTTTAGATTCATCCGATCTCTCTTTAAGTCTTTTTCACTTCACTTATTCCCTGGCCCCTACACACCATGATAACTTTTCACTTCCCATATTATCCATATGGTGGCATAGTCCCCGGCCCCAGATTGATATGAATGTGTGTTAATGAACTAGTAACTCATGTAAGTTGATATGCTTGTACATGCATTCACTGACACATTAATCTTCTCGTATATTAATCTAGATTAGATTGTTTACCATTTGGCACGCCTCATGACAGTGGCTTTGTCATGCAGTTGTGGTGATGATGGTCGGATTCGAGGATGGAGATGGAAGGAACTTGTAGGATTAAACGATTCTTCATCTTTGGCTGGTAATAAATCTTACTCTTGCAAATTGAATTAGCCTGAAGCCTGACCAGTTGGTTATAGAGTTATTGGTTTCCTTTCCTTTATCCTTTAAAGGTTTCTTTTTTGGTATCTCCTCGGTAAACAATTTAAAAGGTTCTGAAATTAGGGTTTATAAAGTTGTTCACGTGGTCTATTCACTTATATCTCTCGGTAAGCTTGAAGCAAAATAAATAACAGAGGAGACTGGATATAAGTTCAAGCTAAACTAGGTGCGGGTTAAGAATTACCCCGCCTTAGGTTTGACTCGCACATTGTCTATGTGAAGGGACAGAATTCAGCATGTGAACTTTCCTTAAAATGATTCATTGTACATTCTTATTTTGACATTCATGAAGCTACATAGCTATATGTTCATTTACTACATGATTTGATGCCAGTATTGCCTCTTCCATCAGTATCTTCATTGATCTTATGTTTTTTTTTAATATCTATTTATATATTTTCTTGTTTCTCGTCTCACAGTGGGCATCTTTCATCAGTATGTGATTTTCTTTTACAATGTAGCTTCTCTAATGTCTTATGCATGGCATCCCACATTTTTGCAGGAAGTGGTATCAAGCCTTTGCTTGAGCTGGTGAATCCTCAAACACAAGTAAGTTTGCAGAACATATATGATTAAATCATCTATATTAGTAACTAGACACATTTTCCCTTACATAAAGTTCGAAAAATAAGTTATATTGTTCATGGCTTGTGAATACTGCATAGTATGGTTTGCTATAAATTTTATTATATATATGTATTGGTACATATATTTTGATTACAATAGTAGAGTCCTTAATTTTATTAATTTGTTAGTTTTTTAATTTTTCTTGTATACTACTTATGAACAGAATCTTCTTCATGTAGTCATTTTACAGCTATAACACGGCTATAACTTGCCTTAAAATCTATAACACAGCTATAGACAATAACTTTGGAGAGGGAAATGGAATAGGAATAGGATACATAAAAGTAAATTTGAGTCTGAGTGTATGTATGTGAATAAATTGAAAGAAAACTGTGATTTGGGTATCCATGAGTAATTTGACGTTGTTCAGGAATTTGTAATTCTCTCTCTCCCTTTCTTTTTTTTTTTTGGATCTTTTAGCAATTTAAGGTGTCAATATTATTTCAGCTCAAAATCTTAAGTCAATGGTTTTATATAATCTCACATGTCCCTGCATGTGAAAGTCCCTTGGGGTTGAGCTATGGACATACTAGGGCATACCATATCCTGTGTTGAACCTTGATTTGATTAAGAAAATGGGGGTGGCAAGATTCAAACTTTCGGTCACCTATTTAGAGGCTTTGGTACCATGTCAAATTTAAATTCAGAAGTTTAAGCTATTGATTTAAGACCCATGAGCCATGTATAGTTTTTATTATAGTCTCTAACATAAGGATTGGTATTAGTTTTTACTTCTCATACATTAATTGAGATCTTAATAGTGTTACTGAGTTTCTACTCTCCCTCCTTTCCTTACTTCATCTAAATTTCTGTCACTGCCTTCTACTGTTCTGTTTCTATATAATTCAATGCTGTTTTTAAATCTTTTTCTCGGGACAAAAAAAAAAGTTGTTTTTCAAGATAACTCATGTTTTATTGTATAGTATTAGGTTCTGGTTATCTGATTGATTAACATTTTCTATCTGCCCAATTTATGTTCTGGACTGCTATATGTTTCCCATCCTTGTTCTACTTCCTCCCATACCAAATTTCATTTTATTGTTGTCTTTTCAGAGGTCCTTGGGGTGCCCTTTCACCTATTCCTGAGAATAATGCTATTGCTGTTGATACTAAGGTTTGTATTTTTCTTTTCTTTTCTTGTTTTGACAATTTGTAGAATTATTTTGTTTGTTCTTCACTTATTTAGTGTTTATTTTCTTGTCTAATTTTAGGAAGGATCTGTTTTCACTGCTTCTGGTGATTCTGCGCATATTGTTGGGATGTGGTATGTATTCTTTGAAGGTGAATATTTAATATATATTAATCTAAAATTGTTGTATTTTTTCTTGATATTTGATTTATAATAGTAGCTGTCTTGATACTAGATTGATATATGTTGACGTTTGTAGGCTACTGGTAAAATGAAAACTGTATTTAAGGGGCACTTGGACTACTTGCATTGTTTAGTTGCCCGAAACTCAGCCAATCAGGTATAGAGATTTTAACTTTTTTACTTGCAGTGATAATTTCTCTTTGCATCAACTAATTTTGGGAGTTATTTTGCTTGATGTTTCAAGGGTTCACTTTTTTCATACTTTTCTGTGAATCTATATAGAACTAATAAAATGAGATGGCAACAGACTGACAGGTGCAAGTACCATATAGAAGACTATCAAAGAGGAACTTAGTAAAAGAAATAGTATTGGTAATAGAATACGAATTTGTTTTGTTGAAGCGCTTATAGATGGTTTGAGAAGACGTGTCTTTTCTAGTTGTCAGTACGCTGATAAGGAGACTTAATTTTAGTTGAGGAATCTGAAGTCTTAAATACTTTTCTGCCAGAAAGTTATATGGACTGATGTTTTGTAAACCCAAGCTTATCAAATGAATATCCCTTCTTTGTTGCCAATATCTCATTTGTCAGTGATAATACTCTTTTCCATTGAATGTTATCTATGGTACATGGTAAATGTGATATATTTCACCAAAAGTTGCGGCCTTAGATATGTCTAACTATAAGTTCCTTCTGAACAATCTTCAGATTATAACAGGTTCAGAGGATGGGACTGCACGAATTTGGGGTATTATTATTTTTTTCCTTGCGTCAATAATTGCAACTAATAAAGTCACATGATAAATCAATGTTTACTGATTGTATTTGTGCAGTTTTCTTATAGCATTCCTTTTACTTTTGTGGCTCATGTACCATGTTCACTAGATTGCAAAAGTGGAAAGTGTATCAAAGTGTTTGATCCTGCAAAAGATTTGAAGTCAAAAGGATACGTTTCATGGATTAGTTGTGTTGCATTAGATGCAAGTGAGAGCTGGTTGGTAAGAACGTATCTATTATTTTATAAATTATCTCCATGCTCCCTCCCTCCCTAGATATGACCCCACATGTATATTTATATATTTTCCACGTGTTATTCTGGTAAAAGAAATGCATGTTCTGGCTTCAGACAATATGGTAGCTACTCATGAAGATGAAATGTCACAACTTTTTCGTCAATTTATTTTTGGAAATTAGAATAGCTTATTATTAGCTTCAACCATCAAGCTTTTATCCTTAGGACAACCATAATTTCTAATGATAAAACATTCGTCACATACGTAAGAACTTCTAGAAAAATAATTCTCTTCGGTAATATATTTTTTTCTTTGTCATCATGCAGAACGTATCATATTAAAAATGATTACGTTTTAGGTGTCATTTTTCTGTTGGCATGATAAAAGTTAACGTAATGCACACATGCATTTTAAAACAGTTTCCTGGATTTAAATGTTAATATACCTTCTTAGTTTGTTGTTGTTGGGAGTAATTTGAGGGACTAGAGTATCTTCACCATTTACAGGCCTGTAGCTATGGTCGGAATATATCACTCTGGAACCTGCCTGCTTCAGCGTGCATATCAAAGATTCCAACGCGTGCTTCTGTACAGGACATGTTATTTGACAACAATCAAGTGAGTAGATGATTGCTTTTATCTCTTGAGATGTTTTATTTGACAACAATCTAGAAGCTTGACAATAGAAAAAGAATGGATTATTGAGTATTGACTTGGGGTTAGAAGCGAGTAACTATGTTGACCTCTTGTTATCATAGTTACTCATACGAGTTAACTTTCTTCAGTGTTGAATATTAAAAGCTGAGGTGAATGGTTAGCAACATGTCTGGTTGCTTGACAAGCACCCAAATGTTTTCTTGACTAGGAGATAAAGGCGGCAACCCATGTGGATATTTGCCCAAATCCCACCTTATTCTTGTCAGCAAGCGTCGATTTATGCCGGCCATCTGCATTCCATGCTGAAGAAAGTTGGTCCACTTGGACAACCTTGTTAACATGAGTTTATTGGAACTGATGATAGAATTGAATTTATATGCTTTTTTTCAATATCTTTGGCCTGACTTGGAGGTGAATTTTCTTTCAAATATCAAATAGTAGTTTACTTGGTTATGATATGTATGGGAAAGCTTTCAATGCTTTATATCCAACATATTATCACTTTACTAGGGTATGTTGTGGTGTGTGACTTCTTTTGCATTTGCTGTTAACTTCTGGTAAACAATGACTTGTTGGTGCTGATAATATGTACAAGTTCTCACTGCATCAATAGCTCTTCTATTCTGTTAATCTTTGCACATCCATGTCAGATATTGGCAATCGGTGCGGATCCTCTACTTAATCGATTTGACATGAACGGTGTGATCCTTTCACAAATACAGTGCGCTTCTCCATCATCCTTCTCTATCTCCTTGCATCCATCGGGGGTATTGTCTCGATTAATCTTCTATTGTTAACATTTTCAGTCACTATACATTTTGAGGTTATTGACTTGTCGCTGAAGCTCTCCTTATATCCATGTCAGATATTGTCGTGATTAATCTTAATCGGTACATTTTATTTGTCTCAGATCATGGCAGCTGGAGGTTATGGTTCTCTTGTGGATGTTATCTCCCAGTTTGGAAGTCACATGTGTACGTTTCGTTGCCGAAGTCTTTAACTGGAGTTATTTGGTGTATTTTGTCTTGAAGAATATTTGTAGGCTGCGGTTCTTTCGTTAATGGGAGAAGTTTTCCTTACTGCGCATTTTATGGACCGGAGAAGTTTACGTTTAATGGAAAGTTATGAATTATTCTTGCCTTCAATTTTGTGGATTTAGTTAATGGTAAAATGCATATTTTAACATGCGTCTTTTTTTGTTGGTAGGAAAAAGTTTGTATGAGTTGGGTTTTGAGAATTATTATAAGTCAAGATAGGGTTTTGAGAATTATTAAAGTCAAGATATGTCTCTAAATTTAAAGAACGTTTATAAAATATTTACAAATATTTCATCAACAAGTTCTTACATTAATAATAAAATTTAAATTCATGGTAATATTCCGATACATTATTTTAGAAACAGAATCCAGCTAACTATACCTCCTAAAAAAGAAATCCAGATAACGAGCTCAAAACAAAGAAATTATGAATGCAATTTTCATCTGATGTGAAGAACGAAAACAAAAGCCTCACGTCACTGAAGGGATTGGCAATGTGAATAGTACAATGTGCTTATTCAAAACTCTTCCAATAAGCAATTAGCCTAAAAATCTTGATTAATGACTTTCTTAACTATTCCTTTTAGTCTCTCTTTGCTTCTTCTCGTAAGGTTAATGTAATGCAAAGAAACGGGGAAAATAGCATCAATGCAAGCCGACTGCCCCCACGCCCACCCAAAAAAAAAAAAAAAGACTCTTTCACAACGATGCGAGCGATGGCAATTAACAAAATCAATATGGTGCATGCAACAATGTCCTCCATGTATCACGATTATAGAGAAGTGCTCTGGTATCAAAATTCCAGAAAGTTTTATTCAACATAACGTGGACGCAACACTTGCGGGAGGCATTTCCAGATCATGGGTATCTAACCTAGACCATTTACAATTTTGTAATCAGTTACTAACATAAGCCAGTTTCACTGCTACATTGGCATCTATCATTGTACATGGATTAGCATGAAACAACATCAAGAAAATGTCACTTGGAGACGCTCAGCCCATGGCAACCACTATCAGTATCAAGGCAGAAAACGTTTCCCGTAGAAAAAATAGGCAGCCACATATCTACAACAGCCTGAAGAAACTCTTCCACTTGCATGGTTGATGATGCAATGCCAGCTTAGTCAATTTTCTTTTTCCTATTCATCAAGTCATGGTAGTATAACAACACGCACATAGGTTGGCCAAGAATACTGAATATGAACCAAAAAATCATATTCCCAACCTGGCATGAAGAAAATAAATCACTTCCAGAATATGAAGCAACACTTTTCTTTTTTTCTTTTTTTTTTTTGGGTCAAATCAAATCAGGAGGGTTTGAATGATTACTATTTATATTTTATATACTCTTACCACCTAAGCTAGTCTCATAGCTAAATAATGACGTAACATTTGACAGAATGAAATGATCACATGGGGTATCAAAGGGGCATACCATTGAGCTTCTGAATTTGTTCTGAAGGTAATTCGTAATCAAGACCAACGGAACCTAGAAAAAGCAGCAGCACAATCATGATTATAATTATTATTTCAAGTGAACCGAAACTGCATTCACAGAATTTTTTTTTTTGCCACTCACAGATTTTGAGTTACCAGCAGTAAATAACTAAGAATGAATTTAAAACTCAACAAAACAACTAACAATTACAGAATCTGGTTTTCTTGGTCTTGTGAATTACTGTAAGAAGGCACTTAAATTTAACGGTAGCAGCGTCAAGGCCCAAAAAAAAAAAAGGATGGTTATATACCTGAAACATGATTCCAATAAAAGCCCACAGCTTAAAAATGTGGCAAGGAACGGCAATGCACAGCTGCACTCAGATGAACAGAAAGCATGAATAAAATTAAAGTCAACTTTCTTTAAAAGAAAAATTGTCAAGTTAAACAGATTTGTGCATGTACTTCAATTGATAGGAACCACATTAAGTCATTAACTAGTGGCAGGCTTCATCAAATATGACCATAAAAAGTGCACGAAAACGAGTCAAGTCGGACAACGATTCACATCACAAGTGACTCTACACATGTTTCAATAAAGCTTGAGAAAATGTTCATGCCAATATCATGAATGCACAATGAGGATTGAGGTGTGATTCCTTCAACAGAACCAGGAATTTTGAGCTGCCCATCATATCAGTCGACCACATTAAATTTTACCAGACCCTTTACCCCTTCTTGAATATTTTTTTATGCATTCTAAACCCAAATTTGTAAAACTAATAATATAATATAAAATTAGTGAAGATTGCATAATGCCATGTCAGAATCCAACCGGGACAGGTTTAACACCTATATGATACACACAAGCCAAGCAACAGGTCAGGTACTTGGTTTTGCTTAGTCTTGGCTTAGCTCTTAAGGCCCTTTGACATTTGTGGTTAGATCTGTGATGCTGGCTAACAGGCTAAAGTCATTGGCAAATTTATAGTTTTAACTTTTAATCCTCTCCCCCAAACCCTGTCAAAGGACATGGATCAAAGAACATCTGGGATGAAGTTAAACAAGCTCTAGCCAACTTTTTATAAAGCAACCATACTATCAAAATACATTATAATGTAATAAGAGGGAAATGGGTTGATAGAGGATAAACCACACACCTCATGGAACACAGCAGATACCAGGAAGGCGATTAAAACAGCAACACCCTGTACAGTAATGAAGCAAAAAGTTACAAGGAATCTAGAACTCAGAAAAAAGCATGTCAACGTTATAAATCCAAATTTCAGCCAAGAAGAAATAACTCACATTGAGGCCAAAAGAAAAAGAACTCAGTTCAATATTTATAACAGATCCAAAAACAGAAAAGGAAAAGACAGATAAGTTATAAATTAACTCGATACCTCTCCTAAGCTTGTTTAATCACACGAGTCTACAAGCATATGCATATTCATGTTTGAGCATGCAAGAGTCAATACTTGAAACTACAAACAAAGGCTAACTTTGAATATTGACTCTCAATTTAAAACCCCCACCAAAGAACTTAAAAAACATATTTGGTTTTGCTATGAACAATTCAATGGATCAATTAAGATATAGAACTAAATATACAAGAATAAAGATTATGAAATATGTTGCATTTTGCATGTCCTCATGCTAGCTCCCAAGCTTTCCCGAGTAAATCCAGTCCTTGTTCTCCCTGCATAAGTACTCAAACCTTTTCTAATAATCATATGACATAATGATGCTTCTTACTATGAGGTGATATAACAAAGCAAATAACATTTCAGGAGCTGCACAACTAAGAAGTTTGTAAACCCTTTATCATACAGTGCAGAGATTGCAATTTAATATTTGAACCTATCTTCCAGAGGGTTTTTTTTTTATTTTTTTAATAAAGGTAGCCCCTATCTTGAGTGTGAGTTCCAGAGAGATGCCAACATGACAAGTCAACAGCAACCGAAATTGCTTTTATAAGAAACTCTTGATTATTGAAGGTACTAATTGTAAAGTAGCCCAAGAACCTTAAATTATACCACCTTCCTTCTGATGGGGATGGGCTTAGCCCTCAACTGCAGACATATTCTAGGAGTTTAAAGATGAAAAGAGACTGGCATTTGCAGATGTGTACTGGGAAAAGTAGGAAGAAGAAAAGGGTTCCAAGTGAGACTGTAGAGAGAAAATGAGGAATTTCATACCTCTGGCCGTTAGAAAGAGAGAGGATTTGGGAATATAGTCAAAGGTACAGGACCAGAGGGAGGTAAGAAGATTTTGAGTGAATTTCTATTGGATAGCCTATGCCTTCGATTGCATAGGAACCTTGGCTTATTCTTTATTTTCCTCTTGCTATTGCTGATCCTGTAGCTAACCCTGTAAGACTTATACTCTACCAGGATTTTATACGAATAAACAATATAATTCGGAAGTTGGACTTTGCTTTCCCAATGCCATGTGGTAAAAACGGGTGGCAATAGCAAATATCCATGCATGTCATTTATCATTTATCAGAAGTCATATCTTTGCAGTCTGCCTTGTTTTCGATTCGTTTTGCATCATTCAATCAGTATGTAATGTGCCTCCTATTAAGTTATTGTACAATGCAACACATTTTCCTTTTTCAAAATGTTCACCATCCTTTTCTTTCAACAAATGAAATATAAATCAAATTAATTGTTGCAATGGAAGGAAAAGAAAGAAGTTCCTCAAAACAAACAGGCAACGGTAGGCTTCAATGTTTCACCACCCTCACCAAAACAAAAGAAGAGATAGGCTAAAGATAGAAGATAGCCATATAAGTGATGAACACAGTCAGATGATAAGACAAGCAATGTGCTTGACCACCAGTCGTTCACACTCCAGTTAGTGAGACAGATTCTTTATTGCTCAAAGTACCTTGGGTATACCATTCCTTAAGCATGGAAAATATAAGTGGCGGACCATCCATTTGTGCACAGGCTGTAATGGGAAAGAATAAAGTCAGTTATATAGTGATAGATTAAAAGAATACTTGTAAACCGCACATATGTTACTCAAAGTTCTAGAACTATTTGTTAAGGATGTAGTAAAACTCAAGCCAACCATAGATATTGCCGACAGTTATTTGGGTGCTCCAAAATACCTCATAGGCAAGCATCACACACTATTCTAGTTTACTTTTTTGGAGGCTATATGAAATTCAAACTGGAACACTTTCATTATAGTTGCCGTATGCCATAGAATCAGTCCATATATAGTTTATACTGTAGTAAGTTCTCTCTTCATTGGGGTCTTACACAAATAGGAAATATTTAAAAGTTTAATTGCGAAGTAGAATTTTCACAGTTTTGCCAACTTACAAAACAACAAAACACTTTTAATGACTAATGGATATATCAATACATTTAAGGACTCAATTAAGCTCTGTCTCCTAAAGACCACTATGTTTACACTAGGAACTGCCATGAAAGTAGACAAAATTCAAACAATGATTTTCAAAAATTTGAGGAGTTTCAACGAGATCAAACCTAATATCAACCAACAAATTATGCTGCATGAAAACTTCAAAGTTCAACGTAAGTAAACAAATAGAAATGGAACCGAACAAAAAAAATGAGAACCAAAGCAAATGACCCAAGTGAAAATAAAAAATCAACTCATCCGATTCCGTCACCAAAATAAAGTCTGAACAAG